AGTTGTTATGCATGTCAATACATGTACATATATATAATAGATTATGTAAAAGTAAAACTATTCAAATTAGTATTTTAAGAACCGTTGAGTAACAAATATAGGCAAGTAAAGGTGAGCGACATCAGTTAGGAGATAGGATAAACTGCTAAGCTATGCGTGCATATACGGATAACATAAAATAAAGAAGATGAGTCTTTTATCTAGAAGGATCCTGAATTTATCTGCTGCTGCTGGACATAGGCCTCTCCTTACAATGGAGGTTTTGGCCTACAATGCCACGCAAGCCAGACGGGTTGGTATAGGGTTTGTTTAAAGTTTTCCTTCTTTTTGCAATGCGGTTGTCCTGCAGAGTTTGTTCCTTTAATCGGCTCTTACGACACCCAAGAAATGAAATTCCGTATTCTTAATCCGTCACCACACGGATAAACATGTAAAATATAAAATCTTTTAATTCTTATCCAATTTAAATAGTCTATTTGTATTATTCATTTAATTCAATCTAAAATATACCTAAAAAACTTTACCCTCTGTCTTAGTACACGTTATACCTAACCGCCCACTCAATTATGCAAAGCGTCCACTTAACAAAAAAGCTAACAAAACATAGGTGAATATGTCACAATTTCACTTTCGTACAACTTGTTTGTACTGTGACGGAGCGTTACACAAAATATTTGGACGGATACTTTCCATGTTAATTATCTATAACACTAAGTATAACTTATTATAAAAGGTTTTACGCGTGCAGCTTGTGGGAGAATTATTAGCTAGCATCAAAATGGGGCCCCATAATGCCTTTTGGAGACTGATGGAGCTGTCCTGGCGCTGCAGTGCCTCGGGAATGTTTGCAGAGGCAAGAGTTGACTGCTTTTACTCCACGATACCCAAACGAGCAGCATCATTGTCGCGGGTAAGGGGCAGCTCCAACAGGGTCCTAGCCTTGATAGCCGACAGAATGTACTGCACATATATGACTCGATGCTGTAGGGTACACACATCTTTTTGTAATTATGTACCTTAATACTAACATAGGCTAAGTTTAAATGTGCTACTGACAATTATTATGAGTCACAGTTACTCGAAATAAATTTAATAACATCGGTATTGCTGTACTCTATTAAACAATTAGGGCTGGATACATCGGGGGAGATAACATCTTTAATTACTATCTCGATATCGATTTGATGCGCTGGAGACGAAGTTTGCTTTTCTAAAGAGTGTCAAATTTTTTCACTGTGCCCGTATGCCAAGCTCAAGCGCATATAAGACGTCTCAGAGCGATACTAGATACTAGCAGAAAATGGTTGCTAAGCAATTCTTTCGTTGCTTTGAGGTTACCTGACCCACCCTCCCTCGTCCTCTTATGACTGCACGGATGGCGTAGTGGTTTAAGCGGTTGCCACGCCGCTCCTACTACACCGAGTGTAGTGGGTTCAAACCCCACATGGGATGACATTTTTGTATGATCTACAAATTGTTGTTCTGAGTCTGGGTGTACTTTGTGTCCGTTTCATGTATGTTTGTAAAGTCCAACGTGACACAGGATTTATTCCTAGTGCGTTAGCGTTAGTAGTAGGGAGGGGGGGGGGGGGGGGGGGTTGGTGGTCACTTTCCATCAGGTGACCCGCTTATTTGCCCCCCAAAATATAAAATAAAGCTTCCGAATTACGTAGTAACTAGTTGTGGTGACATAACACACAAAATTACGACATACTAAAAGACAAATCTTAATGTTAGTGACCGACAAACACAGTGCGACAAAAATCGCGCCGTCTCGTCAAACTGCAATAAGCTTCGTGTTAACATGACTATTATAACGTAACAGACATAATGTATTTGATACATTACACCATTTTTTCTGCACACTTGAGTAAACAGCTTGTTCCGTGTTCCGCAGTATGCTTCCGCATATTGTGTGCAATTAATCAAGAGTGTCTTTTTTATGTTCCGACACTTGTATGGAGAATTGAGGGGATTTCCTAGAAGCATCGTAGAAAGCGAAACTAAAATAAATACAAGGAACTTATAGAGGACGCAAAGCGTTACTAGGCTACTAGATGTATTACTGTTTGAAACTAAATTTGGTAGAGACCATTGATTAGTTGTCCTATTAATGTGGCTTACTAGCAGGCAGACTTTTAGCTTGTTTCGAGAGCAAGTTGTATGAATAAATATAACCTGTTAAGTATCGGACGAAACATAACGTTGTTTTAAAATAATCTATACTAATATTATAAAGCTGAAGAGTTTGTTTGTTTGTTTGAACGCGCTAATCTCAGGAGCTACTGGTCCGATTTCAAAAATTCTTTCAGTGTTAGATAGCCCATTTAAAGAGGAAGGCTATAGGCTATATATCATCACGCTAAGACCAATAGGAGCGGAGCACCAATGAAGAATGTTTCAAAAACGGAGAAAATTAATTGCTATTGAGAGACGCAGACGAAGTTGCGCCGGTCAGCTAGTATTTAATAATTGTACAACATAGTGAACGAGAATACAAATATTTTCTCTTACAGTGAAATGGTATCTATTACAAATATACGAGTATTTGTATTACATACGTTTGTATGTTGTTGTTTATGATTTTTTACAACTTGTACCCCATTTATGTATTGATGTTACTGGATAAGCTTAATCAGTTTCGTAACTGCATTTCCTACTTTTATGTAAAATGCATGCCGTGGCAGCCTTTCATTAAGAAAAATATGGTTACCTTAACATGTAAATTAATGTAAGCCTTGTTAGTTGTTCTTAATAAAATAAATTAGTTTTATGCTACACATACAACTTTAAACAGGTATTTCAAAATAAAATACAGTATAGAGCTTTTTTACCGTAATTACAAGTATTCCCGTTAACCCCTCCCGCTAAGCTAAATTGCTTGTGTTAGAAGTGGGTTCACGTCGGTAGTGTACTGGTCAGGATTCGAATCCACGACCTCATGAACGCAGGTCCAATGCCTTAACCACTAGGCTACCGCCGATATTTAAAACTAGCTGAGACCCGCGGTGTTACCCGCGTTTGTTGTTATAACCGCGGGCAACGCCGCGGGGCGAAGCTAGTCTAAAAAAAGTAGCCTAAGTTACTCCTTATGTCATCAGCTATCTGCCAGTGAAAGTCCCGTCGAAATCGGTCCAACCCTTCAGAGATTACCCGGAACAAACAGACAGACAGACAAAAACTGTAAAAAATGATGAGTAAATAGCGGTTATTTTAATATTACAAACAGACACTCCAATTTTATTTATTTGTATAGATAAATAATCTATAAAGGACGCAATAGCATCTAGCCTCTGAATCGTTTATTATTAAGTGGCTGGAATGTTGGTCTAGTGGTTATCGGTTCTGATTGATTCCAGTGGTCTTAAGTTCGATTTCCACCTCGGACAAATATTGTTGTGATCAGGATTGGTTCTGTACACGGGCGTAAGTGGGACTAAGACTGCACTAGCGCAAAGAAAGGCCGGGTCCCCTATCCACATGCTTGACCTGTGATTTGAGAAGCTTCTTCAATAGGAATATCGACTGTCGCTATTTTAGTGTATAGCGCCTGAAATAAAAGAAAAGCCTAGAAAAGGCCTGATTTACACAGGGTAACTGACTCCAAATCAATTTACACTACGTAAGTATCGGGTCGGGTTCGTAACTACGTAAGTGGATGCGATAAGCCCATAAAACCTTTTAAAAAAAAAATTTAACCGACTTCAAACAACACCGACAAAGAGCACTAAAAATTAAAAAATAATTACAAATCTAAAAAACTATAATAAGTATCCTCAATGTAACAGGTAACATTATAATACCAATAGTCCCTTCTAGTTGGTCCACAATTGACGGAGAAATCGCGGAACAAACATACATGAAAAAAAAATACAGACTAATTGAGAACCTCCTCTTTTGTGTTTTGGAAGACGGTTAAAAATCGATCTAAGTGGCGTGCAATGGGAGAGGCCTATGTCCAGCAGTGGACTGCGATAGTTTGGAGTCGGTTACTAACCATGTGTAAATCAGGCCTATATATAATAGTTGACCACAATCGCTTATCGTTCCCACTGAGGACTCTATCTATCGAACCGCGAAGAATTGCGTGTGCATTGAGTTCCTCATACTTGATACAACTGAGCAATACATAATGTATGATAGACACATTGTTCCTTAAACGATTAATCGTTGTTTTTGTACGTACTTATGAATTGCATGCTAGGATTACAAAACGTTTATAACTTCAACTTAGAGTTATTAGCTTTGTCATCACATTGATCAATTATAGTTTTGATAAGAAAGGTATAATAATAGTATTATGAAGTGGAAAGTGATTATTTAATTACTGTGAGTTTGAATTACACCTTCCCATTAAGATTTACGGTATACTTCTTTTTTTTCCTGTGCGGAAATCCCCTCGGATATCACCCACCGGGCTGATTATGTCGGACTCTAACCGACTAAAAACCGCACGCCGTCTCGGGTGCCAGTAGCCGGGGAACCAGGTGTATCCTAGAAAGGAAATCCCTGGTACCCCGACGTACCTCGGGCCATCCACGGCGTGTAGATGGCACCCTCCTGTGGGGGAACAGCCATGTTCCCTTTGTGCTCCCAAAAGGGTGCGCGCGCTCGGCAGCGCGTCTCGTGGCCACTAACGGTATACCCTAACCTAGTTCCCTCGCCCTGTCCGTTTGCGTGTGAGCAGATGTGCGTAAGTGCGTGTACATGTGTGCCTGTGTGTGTGCGCGCGTGTGTGTCTCTTTCTCTGTATGTGCGTGTGTGTGTGTGTGTATATATTTTCCTTCACGGAGTATTTTCCTTCCTTGAATTATAAGTTAAATGAATTTTTAATATTTACAACTTTTTACTTATTTTTTTGGAAAAAAATTCAGCTCGGACTAGTGCATTTTTCTCTGTTCTTAGATTCTATTATTATAATATTCAGCAACTAAGTACCTCTACTGGTTTCTTGTTATATTTTTTTGTAGTAGCATAATTTAAAGATAGAAGAAGCAAAAATGAGACTACATTTCTCTATTGATGATGATGTTCATAGAGTTCATAGAGGGTTCACTTTGATTTCTCCAGATTGTGGTGTACCGTTGCGGCGCCACACTCGACAACCGCGGGAGAGGACGCCAGGACAGCTTCGCATCATCAAAGGCCGGGAATCAAAACGAGGAGCTTGGCCATGGCAGGTGAGTCCACATCTGATTCCCTCAAAATGGATAAATTGGTCCCCTTTTTGCAAGATTTTTCATTGATGCTTTCCTCCTATTGATAGTTGCGTGATGCTCTTTAAAGGGATATCTAACATTAACACAATTTTTAAATTCAATCCAAACAAATTCTTCAATTTTATAAGACATACGATAACATATCAATTAATATTTCTATGCGTAAATTAAATTTAATGTATATTAAATTGTTTGGCAATTAATTTGGTGTAAATGTTGACTTTAAATCACATCGTGTAGTATACAAGTATATATACATCATACATACATCATTTTTAACTCGCTTTTATTAGCTTGGTATGTATGTATCTATGTATGTAACGGAATCTTTGAACGTGATTTTGACCCATTTCAAAACGTCGAATTAAATTTAACCCCATGCAGTTTTACGATAAAATGATTTTTCTTTCTGAACTTAAAGAGAATTATTTTTTACATTTTAGTTCAGCGTGTTTTAGTTTTTTTAAACTACAATTTATTTGGCTCTTATCCCAATTTTATTTGGGGTGGTGCAACGTACAGATTTGCAGAAGAGTTTTGCCTGGTCAGCCTGATTCATGGGAATGTAATCGTTTTTGAGGGGACAAAGGAAGAAGGGATATCTTAATAAGGAGCAAACAAGCAAAAATGAGGGGTATCACAAGTTACAGATAGATAGTTACAGATATGGGACTAAGACTAAGGCTGTGGTCCTGCACTCATATGATTGTGTTGTGTTTGTATTGGACTCTATTTTAAGCAGAACTCTTGTTCAATTTCCAGGTGTCTCTTCAGCTGCTGCACCCGAACTACGGGTTGATCGGGCACTGGTGTGGAGGAGTGCTGGTCCATCCGATGTGGCTGCTGACGACAGCACACTGCATACACAAGTAATTATTATATTTTATTAAAAAAATATGCATTTTCTGCCGATGACGTTTTTTTTGGTTTTAATTAGCATACAGTCACACGGTCAACCAGATAGTAAGCAGTCACCATAGCCTAACAGGATTTGCAATATTAAAGTTACTTTTAAAGGACTTTATACTAGAGTAAACCATGAGAGAGAGATTATTGCAAAGCATGTTCTAACTGGTTGCAATAACTGGTGTTTGTATGTGTTTAAAAGTTTTGGTAACAGTATATGGGCACCTATTAACTGATTAACATAAAGAGGGCTATTTTTTTGAAAAATTTTTGGTAAATAATTGGTATGATCTTTTTTCACGTAAGAAACGAGAAATCGATTAGATTAATTTTTTGCTCAACTTATGTGCATGATAGTGTTTATTTTTTTTAGTGAAATGTCTGGTCACGTTATGTTGGTTTCACCAAACTGAAGGAGATGATTTGGAAGTTAGTTAACGCCAAATCATTGCTCACGATTAAAGTCCTTTAAAATCTTCTATTTATGAAATAATTTGCTCGCCAGTCGGGGCTTTTCAGAATTTCAATGACGAAATTGTTAAGATATGTACTCGGAGCAAAGAAAGAACGTACTTTGGGACTTTTTAATAGCATAGGAGGCAAACCAGTAGATGTGCTTTGCCGCCCTTTTAGTCATCATCAACAGCCTTTACTACTTTGCTTCCGTTCAAAATTAGGCCGAGGAGGGGGCGGGGTAGGGGGAATCATCGTCATCACAGCGTTAATCTTTTTTGCTTTTTAACATTTATTTCCAATATTTCAGTGAGCTTTTCAACCTACCAGTGCCTGCACTTTGGACGGCGGTCCTCGGTGAGTGGGACCGCGCTGAGCAGAAAGGTGCCTACGTTCCTATTGAGAAGATTGTTCTGCATCATCGGTTCCATAACTACCAACATGATATTGGTAAGAATAATTGTATTGAGTCACCTCTATGGGTTTTACATAGCTTGTATTTCTGTACTAGTCTAAAAACTCCTGTTTAGAACATTGTGAGAAAAGCACACACACACACACACACACACACACATAAAGGAGATTTTACTAAACTTGCTACTCAAATCTTTGAATATCTATTTGATGTATATGACATGACTTAATGAGTTTGGCTAAAAGTGCATATATACATATAACTATATAGTATGTATGTATTGTAATAAAATATAAGTACCTGGAAGACCGAGTTTTTTTGGTAAATTTTCTAACAATGAAGCTTAGCTAGATCGATTAATCGCCCCCGAAACCCCCTGCGTACTAAATTTCATGAAAATCATTAGAGCCGTTTCCGAGATTTAGATTAAACCAGAATTAGAATATACATATAAGAAATAGTAAAGGCGCCAACAACAAATTTTGAAAATCGCTAGTTTATAATATTATGCTCAAAAAAGATTAGGTAATTATTGGAATAAGAATCTTGCGCGGCTACACAATCAACGCAATATTTACGCCAAACGTATAATTAGGAACCCTAGAATTTAAGGAGGTTGGTCAAAATTGACTTGGGCAATTACCTAGTACAGAAATAATCGTATCGAGTACAACGTTAAATTTATTCGTTTATTCTTTGTTTTTAAACAAAATGTAAATTTCATGTTGCAGCATTAATGAAGTTAACCAAATCAGCTGACGTGAGCAAAAGCAGTCGAATTCGTACAATCTGCTTACCTCCTTTCGAACCACCGCTAGCAAACTTCGACACAGATAAAATAAGCAATACGTTTTACATGCCACCAGAATCACATATCGAAACCTCTCGACGAAAATCAAAGCCATCAAAACCAAACCCGGATACCGCAGTAAAGTATTTGGAGAAGCTTAATAATCTAACGAAGAATATGTTCTCAGGGTTTGTGAATAAGAAACACAAAAATTTAAGATATAACGTCAGAGTTTCTAATGATTCAGATAGAGAAGAAGATAGAAAAACTGGTGAAGAACTAAGAAAATCTGACAGTGAAAGAGGAAACAATGATTTAATTTACGATAGCGCGACCTTAGATAGTGTTGTTAAATTAATCAGAACCAGACTTCTTAAAGAAGACTACAAAGTTAATATAAACAGAAGTGATAAGAAGTTGATGTTTGGTGAAGAAATAGATCCTTTTATTGATGATAATAATAGGTTAGACTTCAAAGATGAATGTTATGCTACCGGTTGGGGAAGAGAACAAACAAATGGAACTTTGACAGATGTGTTGCTTGAAGCAGAAGTACCTGTACTGCCGCTGCATATATGTAGAGATAGGTATGCTTTGACCCTGCCTCTGAATGAAGGACATTTGTGTGCTGGGAGTACTGATGGAAGTACCGGAGCTTGTGTGGTGAGTAATAGGAATTTAAATTAAATGTAAAAATTAAAATTTAAATGGTTGAGAATAAATAATGTGTATAAGGTGTTTAGTAAGCAGTGATACTATCACCGCCCCTGGTAAACTGCTGTTTAAGAGTTGCAATTGCATTACCGCCCTTGAGTCCCCACCCAGAATAAGGCTGAAAGATTGGGCTCTGGTAATCTCAATGGCTTGGTGAATGGTAACAATAAAATTATTCTACACCGGTTTATTGTGAGGTGGTGGTATCACTCCGGTCGAGTCGGTACATATGCCGAAGCATGGCTCTTTCACGGCAGGCAATATTCTTCTCCCTTACAATGCCTTTCCGTCGCACATACTTTTCCTTTTATATTGAACTAGCGCTTCGCCCCGGCTTCGCACGGGTGCAATGTATGCCGTATTTACTGGGAGTAGGTAACATATGTAATGATTTACATTCACATTTTGACTTCTAGCCAACCGCTGGTATTCATAATATTCATTTTACTTTTAAATTCAAGCTTCTAATCATACAAAGTAATAATTTCTTCAAAGTCATTAATCGATAGTCATCTGGCTGTAAAATTTTCAATCGATATCGAGACACTCTTATCGGAGATCAAAATTTAACTGTTTTAAATTACTTAATTGATTCTTGCTTCTATCTGATGTTTATCTCAAAGATTGTAGTTTGCCACCATCGTTAAATACAGTAAGAACTATTTCAATGTCTATACTACCTATATTTAATTGTATCATGTATTTATTGATTCTGTGGAGCCATTAGGCTTATTGCTGATTTTCGTCTGCTAACGATTGATCATGATCATCGTCACCAGCCCCTAATAGTGCACTGCTGGACATAGGCCTCTCCTTAGAAATAAGGTTTTGGCCTACTGTACCACGCGATCCAAACGGGTTGTTTCAAGTTTTCTTTCTCTTTTCTGAGCTGTTTTCCAGCCTAGTTTGCTCCCTTAGTCGTCTCTTAAGCCACCCATGGGATGAAGGTGACACTCCGTATTCTTAATCGTTACGTTACGGCTGATAAAGGATAGCAAATCAATGTATTGTTAACTGTATTTAAGGTAACGTAGTGCTTCATTCTAAATATTCTTCTTTGTTTCATAATTGTCACGGTTATATAGCGTCCATGCGCGTTTGTTTTGAAAATGCGTGCAAAGAAATTTCCTCACGTATGAATGCTTAGATATTATTAACATCTAATATTTTGAAGACGGGTTTTTTATACTTACTTCAGAAACTTTACAGCCATTCATATTGTTTAAAACATGATCGATAGTTCGGTACCAGCTGATACTATCAGATATATCTACTCTAACGTTTTAATATTGCTCTTATTAATTCTAATAAATGACATCCTTGGTCAGACGGGAAAGTTCAATCAATATTCTTCAGCTTTCACTTATCACGTTTAATATTTTAAAAGCATATTGGATATTTTTAGATTGTGAGTCTTCAAACAAACTGGAATAAAAAGAATAGAAACATATGAACACACTCGAGTTAGCTTTTGCCGTGATGGAATAAAATCACAATCGCATGTGATAAATCATAAAGCAGTGACTAATTTACTAAACAACTGCGAATAATTATCATCATTAGCGCCTGGTCGCGAAAGGTCTTTAAAAAAAGGTAGTACTTTTGATGAAAATAATTTTATTGATTTTGGTGGCACTTGTCTATGACCAAATTTCAATCACAGGTGAAATCGCACTCCGAAGTGCTTACAGTAGTAAAAACCATGAAAAAAAAAAGATTATACTCGTGACAGGTTTTTTTTCGATTCTACATGAATATATATCTATGTTGTACGTATATACACAATATATGTTTATATTGTATTTCAACCGAAACTCAACTATCGTGTTAACGATATATGTACATAATTATATACCGAGGTGTCGGTAACGGTAACAGTGTCGCTAGTTCAATGGTTTTTCCCCATCTCAAAAAATGCATTCTTTTGTTTGTTGTTCAAAAATGCCCAACGCGCCTAAAAAAAGTTTCCACTTCAAAAAATTGGTCCTGCCTATCTTGCCTGCTAAGTCAGAGTTCTTTTCCCGCCAAGTACAAATAATTTGCCCGTGTGGTGACGGATTAAGAATACAGAGTGTCACCACCCCTATTCATCCCGTGGGTGTCGTAAAAGGCGACTAAGGGAGCAAACTACGCAGGACAACAGCACTGCAGAGAGAAGGAAAACTTGACACAAACTTTATACCAACCCGTCTGGCCAGCGTGGTGTAGTAGGCCAAAACCTCCTTTCTAAGGAGAGGCCTATGTCCAGCAGTGGACTAGTAAAGGCTGTCGATGATGACGATGACAAATAATTGTGTAAGCAAGGTCATTTGTACTATTTGGGTTTAATTTACCTGTTATAGTAAATGTGTTTAGAAATGTATTTAAGTATGTTTATCAGCATATGTTTATGAGCGTATGTTTCCAGGGTGACAGCGGCGGCCCGCTCCAGTGCCGGTCGGGCGGGCGCTGGGAGCTGCGCGGGCTGACGTCGTTCGGCTCGGGCTGCGCGCGGCGCGGCGTGCCCGACGTCTACACCAACGTGGCGCACTACGTGGCCTGGATCTACGCGCACGTCTACGCCACCTAGGACCACCATGTACCCGCGGCTGGGGACTCGATGGGCGGCGTTCATGGGTAAACCCTATACCAGAAACAATCCGTGTCTGTGAGAGTGCCTTGTTTATTAGTTTTTTTTATATAAGCTTGATTATATAGGCATTCTTTGCTCGTTTATATATTATTATAATGCTTTGTAAATATGTCGTTTAAGGTATAAAATAACTTTTATGTACATACGTTGAGGGAACAATATTAATATCTCTGAAAAATAGTTATGGAATTCGACAACTATGTCACGAGGTTAAATTAATTAATAAAGATTTTTATAGGGTACATAAAAAGTTACATTAATTTAAATTATAATGATTATCTTAAGAAATAAACAAATATATACAGTAATAATAAATTAATCAAATACAATGAAGTAACAAAGTTGTTCATATAATGCATGTGATGTATTCGTGTAATAATAATATATCTCCATCTCACACACGGCCGTCTGATCCCAGACTAAACAGAGCCTGTACTATGGTAGCCAGATTGCTGGTATACATACTTACATATTTATAAATACATAATATATTATAGATAAATTACACCCAGACACAGAACAAATGACCGTGCTCAACACACAATATTTGTCCTGGGTGGGAATCGAACCCACGACCTCCGGTTTAGCAGTCAGGGTCACTAACCACTAAACCAACAGGCCTGTCAAATGTAAGTTTATTCTGACTGTCAGACTAAACCCTGTTAACTTCTTACAAAGATCGTCAAACAAAATTTGAATTAAAATGTACTTTAGTTGCCAAACAATGACAAAAGTAAGTAGTTAGTTAAACAACTATCAACAAACATGTGATAATACACTTATGTCATAATTATCAACAATTTGTAAATATATCCTCTAGTCTTTATTTAATTTTAATTTATTTAATGAAGAGTAAATCCGTGACGTGACGGATTAAGAATACAGAGTGTTACCTCTCCTATTCATCCGACTAAGGGAGCAACCTCGCAGAACAACAGCACTGCAGAGAGAAGGCAAACTTGACACAAACCCTATACCAACTCGTCTGGTCAGCGTGGTACAGTAGGCCAAAACCTCCTTTCTAAGGAGAGGCCTATGTCCAGCAGTAGACTATTAAAGGCTGTTGATGATGATGATGATGAATGAATAGTAAGTGACTACTATATACCTTCAATAAGGTGACCAAACTCACATGACACTATACATTTTCTGTATATTTACAATATTTAATTATCTTGTCTCTTATGTATAATAAAGATAATTTACTCTTAATAATATTAATAAATATACAAAAATACATTATTTTTATGTTTAAGTTAGCGATAGATATTAAAACCCATTACTTGTTAGTATTATTAAATTGTATTCTTTATAAAATTTATTTTAAGACTAGAAGGAAACCGTTATTATTTTCATTCAATATATTTTAAGCTTCCCAAATCAATTATTGATTTAAGCGAGAGCGCGTACGAGTGACTAATATCACCATAGATAATACACTAATATAAGTTACAGTGAGTATCACAGTGAATATCACAGTGAGTTTTCTTACTCTCGTCAGAAACCCAAGTGCGAATTTATTTCACATATACCCACCATATACCACGTTCAGCGCTGTCATTAGCCCGCACTGAAATCTGCACCAATTGCAACGCTGAACGCGCTCTCGTTTCAGAATTAAGCTTCAATTCTACAGCTACCGTTAGTTCACTTATGTAATTCTAAATATCTAGAAGTTAATAAAAAGTTGTGTCATTTTTTTTTATATCGCCATCGGCAGTTCAGTTTATTCATTATTCGTTCGATCCGAATCATTCGATAATTTCTTCCATTCATAGTGGCTAAGTTGAGATAAAAAACTTTGTTCAGTAGTATTAACAATTCAGTTCATACTAACTTTTAAACTTTCGCGTTCCATGATAATTAATATTATTTAACGGGAGCCTGTGACCACGGCCGGTGCAACCTGGTCGAAACGTCAGGCAAACCAGAGGTATGTAATACCCTAAATAAGAGATCGCGTTAATTCCCGTTAAATAATATTAATTCAGTTCATTCAGCCACCGTTGCCTTAAACACCTAAAACGGCTAACACGCTGTTAAAACGGCTTACACCTAGCTAAAACGGCTAACATAAGTTAAAATCACTAATCCATAGCTCCGTAATTTAAAATAATTAATAATTTAAAAGTGATTGCGCGGGTTAAACCTATACCGCCGTAATTTAAAAGTTACCTAAATGTACAGTGATTTTAAAACGTCAGGTTTAAATGTGTTAATATGATTTCTTTGTTTAAGCCAGGAGTATTGATAATATTTATTTATAAGTTATGATTTATGCTAGTTTTACATATATTTAAGAATGATTTTCGCATGTAACTACTCAAATAAACTGTGATTTAATTAGTTTTATTTATTTTTTCCTATTATATCATTTACTATCGGAATGTGAAAACTAAAAACTCCAATGTTGCAGAAGTACAAAATAAGATAAACTGGACAGGGATATTGACAAATTTTCAGAATGATATTTGTTTTAGAACAAAGAAAAGTATTGTATTGAAAATCCTAAGCCGAAGAAAAAGCAAAACAATTTTTTTACGGCAGTGGGCCATACGAACCACCTGACACCTGCTTCTCAATACATACATATACAAGTAGGTACGTTGTTGCCCTACGAATGCTCCGTCCCAAAGTCGCACTCGATGAAAAGCTTCAATAAAATAAACTAACAACGAATAAAATAACAACAGACGATCAAATAAACTAGTTTATTTTAGATGAAAAGTAGGTGAAAGGGCTACGGTTTTTTTTGGCTCCAGTAATATGCCTTATTCATCAGCATCATTATCATTTGCGTATTTATGACGAGGCAAATATTCGCCTTGCCTCGTATTACACATATGTTCAGTTTTGACATACCTACATTTCAGGTTTAAATAAATTAAAAAAAATGAACGTAAATATTTAACAAAAGTTACTCATCAGTCGCTGTTTTAAAGAAATAAAAAGAAAAATAACATTTATTTCTAAATCACTGTTACAGTCTGTGGCTAAGCCTTCCCAGTAAGTAAACTTTTCATACCTGTGTTAAGAATGACTCCAATCTTCCACTCGGGTTTGCTTAGATTTAATCAATTTACTTCATTTACATATGGGTGTGTGTGTGTGTGTGTGTGTGTGTGTGCATGTGTGTGTGTGTCTGTTTACTGGCACGGCCTACGGAGACCTAATTCCTTGGGATCGGATATTGTTTAGCCACACACAGGTATGTATTTTAAGTATTGTATTGATGAATACTCGTATAATCTATGCAGTATTGATGAATATAATAAATGTCTGCAGACTGACATCTAAATTGACGTTGAGCGAAAGTGATACAGACGGGAATTGTGGGAGGTACTTTATCTTTTCTTCTTGTCTTTTGTGTTATGATCAAATGAAATCAATCTGTGAAGGGTTCATGTGAGATTTAGTACGTACAATATCCTGAACGACAGAAGATTGCAGGTCATGTATAGGGTGTTCGTGGGAACCTATAGGGCTTTAAGAACATGACCTTTTAAAAGCGATTCTTGTGTTCTTCCTTATGTTCATGGGTTTCACAATATTTTTGTGTTTTTATGTGTATGTTTTTATGTGATATATATATATTTCAGACAATCCCTGCAGCATGAATATATATTCTGTATCCCGGGGGACTTTACATACATACATGAAACGGACACAAAGAACACCCAGATTCAGAACATCAATTTATGGATCACACAAAGTGTTGTCCCTTGTGGGGATCGGACCCACAACACAGCGCAGTAGGAAGGGGCGAGGTGACCGCTTAAACTACTACGCCACCTGTGCAGTCAAATACACAAAGATATCTGTATAATTTATTTAGAAATAAAAAAAAGGTATTTAAAAAGTATTATTTAATTCAATCCTGTATAAAATTATAAACAGATCACCTCAGTCTATTAAATTAAATATTTACAAAATCTATAACTAGTACTTAAACTAATATCACAAGTTGTAATAATGGCTAAGATTCCCCTTACACTTAATAACTTACTAAAAACTAAATTATTCCAAAATGTATAATTTGCTCGTGTTCTCAATCGACACACTTATAATGGAAAACCGTATGTTTTATCGTATGCTTTAGGTATTTCTTCATAACACTTCACCTGAACAATAAGATTCGCATGAAGTCCTCATAATTATTTTCAAACTAGGTTGAAGTCAGTTTTTTTTTACGTGAAACGACTGCCATCAGACGCAACCCAAGTAATCGAAGTTCGTAAGACTGTTTTCGGACTTTTTAGGGTTCCAACGATTGCCACAGATGTTTTATGGCAACCGGGACCAACGGTTTAACGGACTCTATGAGGCATGGGAGGAATCTTATTGTGTTGAAGCATCACCCATCCTTAGACTGACCTGGCTAGAATTGCTTAACTTTGTATTGTGCTAATCTACTCCGTTAGCTCCTTTATAATATTCACATGAAAGTAAATTTAATAAATTCGTGTAAATTGAATATTACAGAAGCTATAAAATAAATAACATCAAGACTTGTTTGATGACAATAGGATCACAATTCAAAATACAAATTATGTATTTTTTGAATGGCAAGAAATATATAATTAATAAAATTACGATTTTAGTTTCCAATTCCAAAATCTATTTTTATAAATAATATTATAATTGAGCATTTATTAAAACGACGAAATGAGAATCCCTACCCGTAATGAATATTTGTATGAGAGGGATGACCTTTTTAATTCAATTAATTATTATAATTATCAATTAAATACGGTGAAACAAAACCACTAAATTTAAGAACTAAACTTATTAACTAACAAAAATTGATAATACCAACATGGAATTTATTTTTTCTTTTTGTAATCTGCAATGAAATAAATGGCTTTTTTATTAATATAAACATAATTTACTACTTGGTTGTTATAATAATACAAAATTATCATAAAAGTGTTTTGTGTTTTTTTTGTTTTGTTCTGCACTGTTTGGTCATTATTTAATGACCAAACAGTGCAGATTCAACACAGAGTTTTTAGATATGACAGAAAATAGCGTATAACAAAGTTTTCATAATTGTTCTCTTGGAGATTCCTTTAATATTTTTTTTCTATGAATGTAACATTTCGAAACTAAATATATATTACATAGTCAGCAAGCATGATTCGGTATTAATAACTACAAAAACCAGAAATAGACAGAAATCAGCTGACTTTTGCACATACAAACTTACAAAAGCACAGTGATACTCTGTAAATTTTTGTTACATGTTTTAATATTTTACTAATTTTTGAGTGGTGTTGGTGTTGTCATATTTAAAAGTTGTAGGGACCTCGTATATGAAAAGATATTATTTTTAAATGTCGCTAAAGCTTCACAAGAAGAGGGCAGGGCATCAATAACACTATACGTATGTTGATGAATGTCTAGATTTGTCTCAAAATGTCAATATAAAACGACAAAATATTATAAACGATATAAGAATTTTTGAAATAGGAACAAGAAATAATCTACCAAACTGTATTTTCAACATCCATTTTCATGTCAACTCAATTGTTTTTTGGTTCTAAAGATATTTATGTTATTTCTTATAAAATGGCAAACCAATGTTGCCAATGCGTTTATTTCCTCTGATTTTGGGAGGAACATACAGTTTTCAATCAGATAAAAAAACCATGTTTTACAAGGTGTTACGTAAGTAACATGATTTGGCAATTAATTGCAAATTATGATATCTAATACTGATAGGAAACAAGTTACTGTCAGGTGCTATATTATCTATTTACAGCCAATAATTAAAGGCCGGATTACGGGGCTATCGCTCAAGCTAATCGCGGCAATGATTTATACATTTTTTATTAAAATCTCCTTCTTCGCTCAGCAGTGAGGGTACGATAAGAAACATATAACAATTTCAATATGAATTAATAGGAATTATGTTGGTGTGTAATGCAACACAAATCCAAAATCTTTATCTAAAATTGCTTTAATTGTATAATTTTTTTCTGTGTGTAAAATACACTGAAAAGTTTTAGCAAATAATTGCAAAACTAATTGTATTTATGTGATATTTACACACCCAAACATAATATCGCCAATGTCAGTATCAGTACCAACCGAGTCACCTGAAGCTCGTCTTAGTAACTTAATTATTGTTTTACTTAAACTATTTTTACCAGCGTCTGTTTTAAATGCTGATGATGTCATTAGACACCTGGATTCACTAATATTTTAAATGCTCTCACTCCACACTTCATTACAAAGTGTTGTCGTCACTATCTCAAAAACCATGGAACTATAACTTTTACGATCTCACTCTAGCTCATTCTCATCACATATCAGTAATTCAACAAACTCATTATCTTCTTCATTAATAGCTAATAATGAGACAGCTTCTCTAGCCGTCTCACTATCGTCTTTGAAGCCAATGTTTTCATGGACAGAACTTCTCCTTCTTTCAATACTTTTCTTTCTGATTATTGGAGCTAATGATTCAACAGGAGGAATGATTTTGTATTTAGGTTTCCATACGCGGTAGAAGCCCTGGGCTACGAGGATAAGGCCTGCGATGAAGAGAAAAACCAAGCAGGTTATGTATAGAGGAGGGCCGATGACTAAACGGAGTCTCAGGAGTGTGATGATTTCTGGTGGTGGCATAGGACAGGCCTGTAACATAAGAACAACTTAATCAGAAAATTAAAATATTATCATTGTTTGGGGTATTTTTTAAGATAAGGTAGTTTTTTCCGATTTCGAGAGAATCTATACAAATAAATAAAATTGGAGTGTGTGATTGTGTTTGTAATATTAAAATAACCGCTTTTTACTAAATGCATATGCATTTTTACACGGTACATATGCCAAAATATCATTTCTTACAATTTTTGTCTGTCTGTCTGTCTGTTTGTTTGTTAATCTCTGGAACGGCTTGACCGATTTCAACGGAACTTTCACTGGCAGATAGCTGATGACATAAGGACTAACTTAGGCTACTTTTTTTAGACTAGCTTCGCCCCGCGGCGGCTAAAACCGCGGGTCTCAACTAGTAAGGAATATAATACTTAAAATAACCGTTTCAGTTGCTCTGTACACATATTTTTAACAGACTTCAAAAACACAAAAGTGGAGTTTATCACTTCGTCTGTATTTTACGCGATATCTTCGTCGATTGTGAACCGATGATAAAATTATTTTTGTAATCGAAAGGGTATACTTCTGAGGTGGTACCATTACCACCAAGTCAAGAACTGATGATGGGATGAGAAATCGAGGGAAACCCTCAAATTTTACATCCCTGACAACGTGTTTCAGGTTATTTCCCTAGCTTTATAGGTATTTGCGTTTAGTTTAGTCGTTTTATCATGTTGCTGAGCTGATGATGGAAGGATCCTGGACCTTGTTTTTTTCTTTCAAGATATTTGTAAGGTGTTTGTGTTGGGTTACAGAGATATGTGCTCAAGAGAGTAATATATGGGATTACAAAACATTTAGACAAAAAAAAATGTTTTCATGCTTGTTACCTCAAAACTCTTATTTGTATTGAATTGATTGATTGATTGATTGTTTTTTTTTATTGCGCTAATATAAAGCTCACAAAGACCTGTATTACTTATTGTGCATTGGGCTTGGCACCGACTTCAAACAGACTAGAAGGGAATATTGCTATTATAATGTTACCTGTTATATTGAGGGTACTTATTATAATTTTTTTAATTACATTTGTAATTATTTTTTTTAATTTTTAGTGCTCTTTGTCAACTACTTATTATAATTTTTTTACTTAGTATACTGGTACTTATTATAATTTTTTTAATTACATTTGTAATTATTTTTTTTAATTTTTAGTGCTCTTTGTCAATATTGTTTGAAGTCGGTTCAACTTTTTTTTAAAGGAGATTTCCTGTAGAACTTGAAATTGAAAAAGGTACATAAAAATTACAAAAATCTAACCTATAACACAGGTACAGGCAAAGATGATCTGATTGTAACCGACGATCAACAATTACTTACCACTTCGAGCCACATGAGAGGCAAGACCTTGTCTTTTAGCGGTGCCGTGATGGGGTTCCCGGACGACGTCCTAACAGCCAAGTTGATCTGGATCCTTATTGAAAATTTCACAGGAGCTCCTATAGTCTGTGAACAAGGAGCAGGTATTTATATTTTCACCGTAGTCAACTAGTATTTCACGGTACATTTAATTTTCATCATCCTTTAATAGTCTACTGCTGCACATAGGTCTCTCCTTAGAAAGGAGGTTTTGGCCTACTATATCTACCACGCTGGCAAGACGAGTTGGTGCAAGGTTTGTTTCAAGTTTTCCTTTTCTTTGTAGTGCTGTTGTCATGCGTAGTTGACTCTCTTAGTCGGTATAGGGTTGGTGACATTCCTTATTTTTAATCCTTAATATCCATACTAATATTATAAATGCAAAAGTGTGTCTGTCTGCTTGTCTTTCTGTCTGTTAACTCTTCACGCTTAAACCCCTGAACCGATTTAGTTGAAATTTGGTATAGAGATAGTCCGAGTCCTGGTTAAGGACATAGAGTAGTTTTTATCTTAGAAATCATCCTTTAAGTGGGGAAATGGGCGGCTTAAGTTTGTATGGGGAATAAATAACCGCTCAACTGATTTACATGATATTTGGTATGAAGATACTTTCATTCTTGAGAATAGAAAATAACGAAATACATAAATTTCTCTAACAAGTATTAGCGACGTATGTTTATGGTGTGCGCGAGATCGCTGGTACCCTAAACACAAGTCGAATCCTATTCTGGGTACCAGAGTTTATCGTAAATACTGTCAATATCGTGTTTGTTACGCTGTTTATGTATTTTTGTGACATATTGTGAAATAAATCATATTATTATTATTATTTTACCGCGATAATCTACATTCACGTGCGCAGAGCCGCAGGAAATAGCTAGTATATTATAGATTAATGACACCCAGACAAAGAACAAATGATCGTGCTCATCACATAACTATTTGTCCTAGGTAGGAATCGAACCCACGACCTCTGGCTTAGCAGTCAGGGTTGCTAACCAATTATACCCACACCAAAAGACTAACAATATGCAAAAATTATGTTATGTTTGCCTTGTAATTGAGGTCAGATACTGCTACATTACTTTATAACTCACCGGTTCCAGTAGGTAAACCGAGGTATGGTTTTCTTTATTTGGTGTCATTCCTTCGAAGTACGACTGTTGTACAGGATCTACATCCATAAAATGTGGTTTTGTCAGAATGATGGGGAACCCTGGAATCAACACGTAAAATAATTAAGTTCTTGTCAAAAAGACAAATCCCGATTTATTTCGAGGATCTGGGTCGGGCAACAATCGATTAGCCACTCATCTAGAGTGGCTAATCGATTGTTGTTGGCTTAATATACGTTCGCATCACCAAGGCTGTCACTCATCTGTTGTTAGTTTAGATTTTTTTTCTTTTACTTTACACACATATATAACACGTACACAAAGTACACCTAGATTCAGAACAACAATTTTTTGATCACACAAAACGTTTTTCGACTGAGGATCGAGACCACAACACTCAGCGTAATAGGAAGCAGGGGGCCACTAAAACTAAAAAGTCTGCCCGATATCACCAGCAATATTGGTAAAGAACGAAAACCAATAATCTCATGATAATACTACGTACAGATAATGGTGTTGTCAAAATGTGGTTGATTTATACTACTCTGCGTACCCCTTGAGGAATACAGGCGTGAGAGTTTTTGTACATTCATACTTATATTATTAACTAGCTTTTGGATTCGGCTCTGCCCGCGTGTATATCGGTTATATCAGTTAAAGCTTATGTCGTTCCTCAAGAATCGAACTATCTCCATATTAAATTTCATATAAATTGGTTCAGCGGTTATTGATTCCTCATACAAACTTCCACCCGCTTAAACGACGATTTCTGCGATAAAAACTTTCGTATGTCCTGGCTCGGGATTCAAACTATCTCCATAACAAATTTTATTTAATCGGTTCAGCGCTTTAAGTGTGAAGAGGGAACAGACAGACCGACAGACCCACACACACTTTCGCATCCATACCAATAAAGTTTGAATGTGAAAGTGAGTTTGTTTGTTTGTGACCTTTTGCGCCTAAACTACTGAACTGATTTTAAAAATCTTTCACCAATTTCCGTTTATCTACTCATGTGCTAATGGATAGTTTTTTATAACCAACATACACGCCGCCGGAGCCGCGGGCAAAAGCTAGTATAGATATACATAGTTTGGTTGCATGCGAAACAAGAATACGTTATTATTTACCAAAATTAAAGTTCTTACCGTAGTAGCAGCCATGAATGTCAATACATCCTTCTGGAGGGCAGTCATCTGAGCAGCTGCAGGCGAAAGGAGAATTCCGGCTAAAAGCATTATCTTCCATCTGGTACCTGGAATAAAAAAAAAGGGAATTGGTAACACAGCAAGTATGTTCATTTGCTAATCTGTACTAATATAAAAAGCTGATCGTTTTTATTTGATTCTTTAAACGCGATAGTATTATACACATTTGAATAATAATTTTTGAATTGGATATATAAGGTCGATTCCAAATAGTATAAAAATCTTAAGTATAAACAAATTTAAATCCACAATAAAACGTAAAAAATGTCAGAGAGCTTATTACTCAATTGTGGATTACATAGAAGACAAGAATGATTGGGATGGATTTAGCATAGGCTATTTCTTAGTGGAAATGTGATGTGGGCTTGTGTGCCTTTTACGTATTTTTGCCATTTTTAATGTTTCACTTCACTTTTTTTTAAATTGATTATTATTGCCTTATTACCTTTTGGTATATTAGGTTTTGGGTTTTGGTTGAGGTATTATTTAATGATGCCATTGTATCTATCTGTTCTAATTCTTAATCTAATTTTTTTTTATGAAATAAAGATATTTTGAGTTTGATTTTGATTTTAGGCAACGTTTGTCTGTTATCTGGGTGTAATTTTAAATAATATTGTGTATATATTTAGAAATATGTAAGTATGCTTACATTCAAATGATTATGTCTAAATTACTCTAAAATGTGGGCGTTTAGTTCATCTCTGCGTACTCCTTCTTAGATAAAGCCGTGATTGTATGTTATGTTCACTTACTTATAAGCATTAAAGCCATAATCCGTAGTAGTTTCTTCTATAAACTTGAATGGAAAAGACCTGCAGGCTTGCTTCCTAAAAATAGTAATGTTGCGACCCTTCTCAAAATTTGCGGGCAGCATCATACCTTCGTATGTACCCGCAACTCTGTTGCACGGAATGCTAAAAGAAGAACATTTTATTAGAACAAAAAATATAGCCGTCTTGGCTATATCTGGGTTTTTCCCAATGACTCTAAATAAGGACACAGCTGTGATTTATAATTTGTTTTATTTTATTCTTTTTGCACAAATAGAAATTCATTGTACAATGGCGGACTTAATGCTTATGCATTAAGTCCGCCATTTCATTTTCTTTTTGGCATTTTCTCCGAGTTTACCTTTGGGTGGTGATTCCTCTTTTCTCAACGGCTACAAGTATATTGCTTTGCAAATCTGTTTCTCATGGTTCATTGGTTTACATTGGTCATTTTGCCTTTCGCTGTTAAATATTTAAATCATAGCTTTGAAAGGGATGAGATAGGGGAAAAACTCGGCTGAACTAAAATTGTTGGACTAGACTAGTATATTCACTCAACCCTATTGAGATGCTATCAGAGATACCCTCATAAACCTTTTCTTTTATTTTCCGTGCGGAAATCCCCTCGGATACCACCTATCGGTGGCATGTCGGACACGAACCGACTAAAACCGCACGCCGTCTCGGATACTAATAGCCGGGGAACCAGGTATACCCTAGAAAGGAAGTCCCTTGTGCCCCGACATACCTCGGGCCATCTACAGACCAGTAGACGACCACCCCCGTGTGAGAACCCCATGTTACCTCTACTCCCTGGAAGCGAGAGCGCTTCGCAACGCGCTCGCTGCCACCCCGGCCTGCTTCTGCTAGGGTGACAGATGGCCTCAAATGTCACCCTCAGGCCTGCGCTTATGGAGGACGGAGGTCGTTCTGCGACCTTCAGCGCCTGAGTCGCCTTCGGTACCTGGCCCGTTCCCGGGCCTGGCGGGCCGGGAGAGTTCTAAACCTCTCCCGGTCCCGCTCCGCCGTCTCCTTCGCGAGCATAACTTGCTCGCAGAAGGAGACGGCAGAGTTCCACGCACTCTCGCTCCGCACGATAGCCGCAATCAGGCTATCGAGCGAGAGAACTCCCACTCCGATGGCCGCCACGAGGTCTCGCCTCTGCTCAACCCCCACCGGGCACTCTGCCAGCGTGTGGAGAGCCGTGTCCACGGTCTGGCCATCGCAGTGGTGGCAGCGTTGGCTCCTTGCGGATTAGACACAGGTGATAACCGAAACATCCTTTCTCAGTGATCACCTGCGTCAGTCGGTATGAGAGGGTCCCGTGACGCTTCTTGAGCCAATCCTCCGTAACGGATCTTACCGCCGCGATGACGGCGTGCCCACCCTAATAAACCCTATCAGAGTTTGTATCACATCACATCATCATCATCATTATCAACAGACTTTAATGGTCTACTGCTAGACATAGGCCTCTCCTTAGAAAGGAGATGTTAGCCTGCAATACCTTGCTGGCTAGACGGGTTGGTTCAAGGTTTGTGTCAAGTTTTCTTCTCTTTGTAGTGTTGCTTTACTTTCAAGAGCAAATTTCGAGGATACAGAAATGTGAAGAGTCTTCTGCTCGACCTTTACCTGGTATTCCAATCAGTGTATCCTTGTTCGACGAGTCCGGTGCGGTTGTTCCAAGTGTTGACGGAGTATCGCCGCTTAGCGTCTTTCAGCTCAACCTCGGCTGACTGTACCCTATCTGTATATATCTGAAGAGAAGATGAGCATCGTGAGTGTTTGAATAACATTAATAATAAATAATATTTTACCACATTCAAACAACGGCATCAAGTCCCAAACTAAGCAGAGCTTGTACCATGGGTACTAGACAACTGATATAAATACATATATACTTTTTTTTGTAAATACATACATATTATACATAGAAACAGAAAGACCAAATCAAACATTAAAAGTTCAAGCACACAAATGTCTGACTTGAGCGGGAATCGAACCCGCGGCCTTTGGAATAGCAGTCCGTTACACAAACCACTACGCCATCCGGTCGTCCGGTCGACATTTGTTACCAAGAAGATGATTCAAATAAATTATCATTGCACTACTGAAAGTTAACATTAAATTATAATAAACTGTATTCTTTATTAGGGATATTGTCTTTTTTCTTAAAATTTGATTCAACACAAACAGGAAGTTAATATAAATTATTACATAAATATTACACTAGCTTTTGTATATCACACTGTCTCTTAAGATACAGGTAACTCACCTAGTTTAAGAGACAGAGTTTCACATCTTAAATACAAAATTGTAAATTCCTATCAACTGTGTATTCGAATATGTATATCTTTGCGTAAATAAAGTATTATTATTATTATAGGGCTTCGCCCGCGTGTATTTAGGTTATCGCGATAAAAACTATCTCCTTAGCAAATTTCATCTAATTCAGTTCAGCGGTTATTGGGTCCCCAAACAAACTTTCACCTCCTTGAAGGATGCTTGTTGGGATAAAAGCTGTCCCATGTCCTTTAACGGGACTCAAACCAGCTCTATGACAAATTTCATCTAAATCGGTTTAGCGGTTTAAGCGTGAACAGGTAACAGACAGTCTTTACTATTTATAATATTAATGCCGGAGTTCTGAGGTTTGTTACCTCCTAAAAGAAAAATACGCACCCGATCAAGTACTCCAAGTTTCTTGAAGTCGATCCACCCCGGGAGCAGTCCGTTGGCCACTGTCACCACTGGGTCGTAGTATCCCCAATTAACATCATGCACAGACAGAGTCTTAAATAGCTTAGAACCCATCGTCTTCATGGAGTAGTACACGCCGACGTTGGGAAGGTATCCTACCTTGTCAGCCGCTAAAGTACTGATAGCCTGGAAAAAGAAGATATAGGTAATTCTTTAGTTGTACTAGATCAGTGATAAATAATTTTTTTTTTCACCCTCATGGGTATTTATCCGTGTGGGGTAAGGTATATCGTGTATCCCGCCGGTGATGAGGGCCCACTAAAGGAGGAAGCTATGAAGAACAACACCAATGCAAAGAGAAAACTTGACACAAAGCCTTTCTTTAAAGTGTGACAACCCCTTCTGACCATCACCCCACATGTGATGTGTTCAATTAGACTTGTATTAAAGCTGTGTCAGACAGAATAATGTACTATATTTTTGAAAGAGGTTTATTCCAAAATGGTCCCATTTAAATTTCATATAAAACCGATGATGAATTTCGGTAACAGACAACGGAACTCTTCAAAAACTGACAGCAATTCAACCGCCATTGCTGCTAGGTTTTAGTGCTCTTTGTTAGTACTGTTTGAAGCCGGTTCTACTCCTTTTTTAAAAGGATTTATTAGATATGAGTATTTGAATATGACACGGACCCATCAAGGTTAAATGTCTGTCGGTTTAAATTTTTAAAACTTGTATTATGAAATAATAATGAGAGAATATGTAAATGTTAATCTATATATCTAAATTGTTTTTATATTCGAAAGCTTATTTTGTTTTCGTGTGAAAACCCCCGCGGCCCAAAGTCACCATCATCATCAACAGCCTTCAGTAGTCCACTTCTGGACATAAGTTTCTCCTTAGAAAGGAAGCCCCCGTACCATGGCCGCAATCATGATACGGAACGATATAATATACCACCCCTAAACTGTGGCAAATTAAGGAATGATACAATATAACATTTTATTGTTGTTTTAATAAAAATCTGCAGCTCTCACCTGTGTCAAAAATTTTAAAATTATAAATATGATCTGGATTATTATAATGTTTATCTAGATATTGTATTAATTCAGGGAACTATTTGGTCTATAAGTACATACAAATATGTTTGCAAATGACTGTTTGTTCCTCAATAAAAAAAAAGAAAAACAATGATAAAGGGCCCATCAAAGTTGGCGATAATTTTTACAAATTGACTTTTATTTTTCTTTTTAATGGAATCTAGTTTCCTTGTCAGTTCAGGTTATTTTAATCTCAATATCATAACTTTAAATTATTAGTACATAAAACGTAGCCGTAATAAATTCCTACTAAACAAAAATCGTAAGTGTGGACTTAATATATTAGTCTGATAACATTTTTGCATATATTTGCATTTTAAGTAAATAAATCATTATACAGATATAACAGGAATAAGATTTTTTTTATAATGCTTCTAAATTATTATATGATAGCTCTAATATTTAAATCGACACTATTTTGCTGTCAGTGACCTATTAAAATTGATATATAGCTAAATGATTTAATAGCTAAGGTGGAGAAGTTCCTGGAAGCAAAATTTTATTAATTCATTTAAATATTCAAAACATTATTAAATATAAAGGTCCGTCGAAGGTTAGGAAAAAAACTGTTAACATTTTATAACATTAACGGATTAATAATACAGAGTGTCACCACCCCTATTCATCCCGTGGGTGTCGTAAGAGCCGACTAAGGGAGTAAACTATGCAGGACAACAGCACTGCAAAGAGAAGGAAAACTTGACACAAACCCTATATCAACCCGTCTGGCCAGCGTAGCATGGTAGGCCAAAACCTCCTTGCTAAGGACCTATGTCCAGTAGTGGACTAGTGGTGGGAATCGAACTGCCCATTGAGTGTCCATTGCTGTACAATTGTAGGAGGTTAGGAACGTCTCTTGCTCGTACTTGTTGAAAAGTAACGAAAGAGCTGCTTTAGACTTGAATTAGTCTTGTTTATTTTATTTTTTACTTGTTATTACAGTTTGTTTTTATGTAAACATCATCAATTAATAAACCTTGAAACTGATAGTCAAACAGTTTTAACTTTGCGACAGTTGACCTGCGATGGTCATTTGTTAGATTCCCACACAGAGCAATTAATTGTATGATGAGCACAATTATTTGTTCTGTCTGTGTGTAATTTATCAGCTGTCTGGTTTCCATAGCACAGGGTGTGCCTAGTTTGGGATCAGACGCCCGTGTGTGAGATGTGTGAGGTATATATATTATTATTATTATATTAAATAAAAATAAATATAATATATTCTACCACACAACGCCATCTAGTCCCAAACTAAGCAGAGCTTGTACTATGGGTACTAGACAACTGATATAAATACATATATACTTTTTTTTGTAAATACATACATATTATACATAGAAACACCCAGACCAAATCAAACATCAAATGTTCATGTACACAAATGTTTGACCTGAGCGGGAATTGAACCCGCGACCTTTGGAATAGCAGTCCATTACACAAACCACTACACCATCCAGTCGTCAAATCAAGTCAATAATATTATAAAGCAAATTTTGTTAACAATATAATTAAAACACAATTAACAATTAACGAAATTAACATAATTTATGTTAAAAGTTAACATTCCATTAACACATTATCAAATTTACAAAAAAAAACTGTTTATGTAAATTTAAGATAGTTAATTAGATCAGTAGCACTATTCGCACAAAAACATCAACATACTAATTAATAACATTAATTAATATGTTTTATAACATGTGACATAAGTTATCATACTTGTTAATTGGATTTTCTTTAAGCAATGTAAATAAAACATGTTCATGCATGAAAAAAAAATTGCTCTAGGCGATAACGTTTACAGTGTGAGTCTTTATGGCCTCGGCACTTAAGTCATTTTATTTCTGGTATAGATCGGACGTCCGACCGGTCACACGATGGTAAGTGACTACCGCCGTATCAGCGAGCTCCGGTTACCTCATTCATCATCATCATCATCATCATCAACAGCCTATACCACTGCTGGACACAAGTCTCTCCTTAGAGAGGAGGTTTTTCCCTACTATACCACCAGACGGGTAGGTATAGGGTTTGTTTCAAGATTTCTTGCTCTTTGCAGTCTTGATGTCCTGCGTAGTTTGCTCCCTTTGTCGGCTCTTACGACACCCACGGGATGAATAGGGGTGGTGACAACTCTTTCTTAATCCGTCACCACACGGATCATTACCTAATATGGTAAAAAGCACCAAAAAACTGCTTGCTTAGTAAAATAACTGTAATATTCTTAAGTAAACTCTACCAGTAACGTATTATTTATATTATGAATCTGACTAATATTGTGATGACCACAATTTATAGAATTGTACATATTTTTATAATCAAATATATGCAATACATTCATAAAAACCAAAATTACCAACATACGATTCAAGTCACTGACATATTTTACAATATTTTCCAGAAATACCCAACGGATGTGAATACTCTAATACACCTTCCATTATTTCATTCAATACCTACTGGCAAACAAACAAAAACTGCTTCATAACAGTTTAATATCATTTAATAATACTATTCAAAAGAACGTCATTCACACTTTAGTCCTAACAAGTAAAAAAACTAACGTTATGGTGGCAAAAAGTTATATTTCTACCGTTCTCATTAACAGCCTGCAAGAATGGCGTAGTGGTTTAAGCGGTCGCCACGTCGCTTCCTACTACGCTAAGTGTTGTGGGTTCAAACCCCACTTCGGACGACACTTAGTATAATCCATAAATTGTTGTTCCAAGTATAGGTGTTCTTTGTGTCCGTTTCATGTATGTTTGCTAATAATGCGGGAGTTGTCTTTTTAATAAAAAAAAGCCTTTAATAGTCCTCTGCTGGTCATAAGCCTCTCCTTAGAAAGGAGGTTTTGGCCTACTATTATTATTCTTCTATTGTAACGCCTGATTTTTTTTTACTAGCAATAACTTATTTTCAACAGTTCATGCTACAAATAACCTAATGAAATTGACCAATTTGATAAATTAATCATTAAGGTCTTGTGCCTCTGGAGAATTAATTGTTGTTAATTGGTTTATTGTAATTAACTTGTTATTTAGGGACTATAGCATAGGCTGAGTTGTGGCCCTTTAGTCACACACAGTGATCATTTTATTCTTTTGTACTTGTTTGTTTTTGTTATTGTTTGTGATATTTTTCAGTTGTGCAAATTGTTTCTTTTCTTTTTCTCATCAATGTTATATCTGTAATCCCTTTTTTGGCTGTGTTTGTGTTGTGACTAATAAACGTATTTTCTTTCTTTCTTTTCTTTCTTTCATTTAACGAGAAAGAGACTAAATGTGTTAAGTTTGTCACACACAATGTTAGACAAACTACATCAAATGTAATTATTACGTACTTCGCGTGGAGTATGAAAAGCGCTGTCTTAGTGGGTCCTTTAAATTTTAAAGGGTTTTCCTGGTTCCTGTAACCTGGTAGTAAAATATTATCGAAATCGGTCCAGCCGTTTAGAAGATTACCCGGAACAAACAAACAGACAAAAAATTTGAACTGGTTTATAGGCATAGATATAGTGAAAATAACCGTGTGAGCATGAAATAAACCTATAATTTTGACATTACAAACAGACACTTCAATTTTATTTATTTGTACAGATGAGGAACTGGACGTGGTCACTACAACGGTCTTTTTGGGTATAACTTTTGAGAGTAAGCAGTATGGTTCTCATATAGCTAATCCCTGGAATATACTCAGTTCTGCAGTTTGCGCTATATATAAAATCCGTGAGTTTACGCATTCAGAAATTACTAGATTACTATTTAAGTTAGTCTAGTTGTGGTCTGGTTGTTAGTGACCCTGACTGCTACGCCAGAGGTGGTGGGTTCGCTTCCACCCAGGACAAATAATTGTGTGATGAGCACAGTCATTTGTTCTGTGTCTGGGTGTACTTAATCCACAATATGTATGTATTTAGAAATATATACGTATGTTTATCAGCAGTCTGTTTACTAGGCTCTGCCTAGTTTGGGACTAGATGGCCGTGTGTGAGATGTACGACGTTATTATTATTGTTGTCCTGGTCTGTTGCAGTCAAATCAGATACGAAAGACCACAAACCGATAAGGCCTATATATGTCGTGTGTGTCATGTATGGGAAATAAAAATTAAATATTACTGGTTATACCTCCAGAGGTTGGCTGGTAGATAATGCCCTGGGTATTAAGTCCGTCGATGTCAACAAGGGATCAGACGGCCGTGTGTAAGATGTGTGAAAATATTAAAATGTCTTATTGTATGTTATTGTGGGACAGTGCTGCTGCCAACATTAGTAATACTACTTTTGTACTGCAGAAGAAACTTCCAACCCCCCTTTTCACTCTCTTAAAGTATGATTTCTGATATAAAAACTATCCTATGTCCTTTCCCGGGACTCAAACTATGTCTATTCCAAATTTCATCTAAGTTGGTTCAGCGGTTTAAGCGTGAACAGGTAACAGACAGACAGACACAAATTGGCATTTATAATATTAGTATGGATATATAGGTACTTACAATGAGAGGCAGGTTTGGCATGACGACTTGAAAATCCTTAGGGTCACCCACGGACCCTTCCTTGATAAACTCCAGAGTGATCTTTGGATTCATGGTCAACACTCCTCGTTCCCGATCTATACGAAGGTTCTCGTTCGTCCGCACTTCTCTGGGGACAAATCATTATGGTGAGTTGGATGCGAGAAGTCGACAATCGATAGAAGTGGCGTGCGATGGAAAAGGCTTATGTCCACCAGTGGACGGCAGATGATGATGCAACCATTATGATGGTAAATAAATCTTACTTAAAATTACTTAAACTCAAATATTTTGTATTGAGTAGACCTTTTTAATGTACAGTTTTAAATGTCAGTGGCATACAAATAACATCATATGAAAAAAAAACAAGGCACTAGAACAATAGAGATGAGATGACCGGGATAATCTAAGTAAAGGTCAAAAGAGTCACAAAAATATATTTATAGGTAAATAAATATTGCAAGGCCTAACATAGACTAGTCTGCCGTCACCAAATGGCCTTAAAACTAAAGCTATGCGGGTTTCTTCCGTCTAGCGGCATGCCGATCTGTATAGATACCCGTCCTTATTTAATTTATTTATTTATACATTTAAAAATAATAAGATACCAGATTACTATGGGCCAAGAGACGGATGGATGGCGTAGTGGTTTAAGCGGTCACCTCGTCGCTTCCTAGTGCGCTGAGCGTTGTGGGTTCGATCCCCACATAGGACAACAATTTGTGTAATCCACAAATTGTCGATCAAAGGCTGGGTGTTCTTTGTATCTGTTTTATGAATATTTGTAAAGTGCCTCGAGGCACAGGATATATTCCTAGTGAGTTGTCTTTTAAAAAAAAAAAACACTTTCTTTTATATTTAATAATCTGGAATTACAATCTAAATTATTTCATTTTACAAGCTTTATTCTAGATAACATATAAAATGAATGGCCTTGAATGACCGCTTGATTCATCAACGCAGAGCCTAAACCAACTTGAAATTTTGACATTTGATGCTTTTTATATTTTAAGCACCCACTAAGACAAGATTTTTGGAAATTTCACCCATAAGCAAGGATAAACGGTTATATGGAAATTGGTCATTTTTAAAGTTAGAGACAGGAAATCCATACTAACATTATAAATGCGAAAGTGTGTCTGTCTGTTACCGCTTCATGCTTAAACCGCTAGGCTGATTTAGATGAAATTTGGTATAGATATAGTTTGAGATATTTTGTGTTGGGAGGGACATAGGCTTTTACCGCGATAACTGAAATACACGCGGGCGAAGCCATGGGCAAAAACATAATAAGAAATAATCACACGAGTAAAGCCGTGGACAATAGCTAGTAAGAATTATTTATTATTAGTGTTTTTAGATTAAGAATTCGACGGTTGGCGTATGATTAAACACATTATGAGCAAAATTTTAACCATTAGTAATAATTTACCGTTAAAGAATTAATCAAATTCGCTCAACATCCCAAACTTATTACTATTCCGTTCAAGTTTGTCGAGAACCAAGAAAAGCCGATGTAAGGCTGTTTTAAAATATGCGGATTCGTGGTCACGATATACGTTCTGTATGAGAACTAATAATAAACTGTTGGTAAATGGATCATAAATATGAGTTGAAGGATTCGTTAGCGGAGACATGGATATATCTGTCAATAGACTAATCATTATATGTTGGGACATCTTTCTGCGTATCTCATAAGGAAAAAGAAAGGTAATTGCTAAGCTATCTGTCGCTTACGAATGTGGAGTCCTCATCAGTATTAAATTGAAATGAATATCAGATAAGTCTATGGTCCTTTGAATCCAAAATATATTAAGTTCGTAAGTCAGCAAAGTCAGTTATAAAATTACTCGTATTGTCATAAGCCTTAAATTTTAGCATTTGTCAAAATTTCTAAGTATTTTTACGGTTCTTCCCATTACTTACATTCATTTTTCATTAATCATTACTTACCATTACTTTTTAGCCAAGTGCTTGAAATAATTACAACACAAGTAACAATAATACATAATAAGTTATTTTGTTGTATCATCATCATCATCATCAGCCTATCGCAGTCCACTGCTGGACATAGGCCTCTCCCATTGCACTTAGATCGATTTTGGGCTTCTAGCATCCAGCCACTGCCAGCCATCTTGTCACTCCACCTGGCCTACACTACGTTTGCCGAGACGCGGTCTCCACTCAAGAACTCGTTTTCCCCAACGGCTGTCGGGTCTGCGGCTATATGGCCAGCCCACTGTTGTATATCATATAAAAAAGCAAATTTATATGTTGTGCTTACAGTGTACATATATCGGTGTATGGAGGAGTATTTGTAAATGCCAAAGTAAAGTTTGAATCCGAAAAAAATCGGCAAAAACATGGATGGACAACCTGTCTACATCTACAAGTTTGTACAGAGCCCTTAGTCGGTGAGATAGCCTTTATTTTGCCTGAACGCGTAGATTTTGGGGGCTTACCATTCAACTTTATAAATACACACGAGTAAAACTAAAAAAATGAATTTTAAAAGTTGTCTTTGTATTAAGGTTATCTTGGTTTAGGATTTAAGTTTTAACATTACTGCTGTAAATTTGAACTTCATTCCTAAATTAAGTTTTGTAATCCTCACATTACTAGTCCATGTAACATAGGCTGTTTTTACAATTGATCTTTGACGCCTCTCAGCGTAAAAAAAAACATAACCTGTTAGAAATATATTTGTCTGTTTATCTACACAAAACTCTTAGGCATGTTCTGTACCTTGTATTTTTTTATTTAGTTTACATGGGTTTGTATGTAAATAATTTTTATCCGTCAGGAAGTTTTTGTTTATTTGCTTTGTGTAAACATCTGACAGGAAACGTGTCTACGTCACGAACAATCTGAGAAATACTTAGTATGACAAATAAATGGGAAATTATACTAAGTCGGCATAAAGGTATTGTTAATAATGGTTTGAAGCGGCTGTAGCCTACTGGTTAAGGTATTGGACTAGCGATCAAGAGGACGTGGGTTCAAATCCTAACAAGTACCTGGCAAGAACCCACTTCTGAATAAGCAATTTAGCTTAGTGGGAGGGGTTAACGGGAATACTAGTATTTTCGGTTGCTAGTAGACCTTTAAGAAAAAGACCAAAGTCATAGGCAAAATTACTAGTAGGTTGCCACAAACCAGACATTTAGTTATGCTTGTTTTAGTTTGTGGATAATAGAAGATATCCTCAGATAAAAACGGATACCAAGATTAAGTAAAACGATTAAAAATAAGATGTGAGTAAGAATGAACGCTTGTAAATTTTATATCACATCAACTGCCTTTGCTAGTCCACTGCTGGACATAGGTCTCTCCTTAGAAAATAGGTTTTGACCTACTATACCACGCTGGTCAGACGGGTTGGTATAGGGTTTGTTTCAAGTTTTCCTTCTCTCTCCAGTGCTGTTGACCTGCGTAGTTTGTTCCCTTAGTCGCCTCTTACGACACCCACGGGATGAATAGGGGTGGTGACACTCCGTATTCTTAATCCGTCACCACACAGAATTCCGTGTGGTGAAGTTTTGTATACCAACGGACAACGATGTGGAAAACGCAAATGTATTTATTCAGTAGTTTACACTTTATTTATTTCAATTAAAAGAGATTTAATTGTGTGATATATTTGTACTTACTTATATCTAAAAGGTCCGACTTCTGAGACTTTCAAAACTTTCTCAGCACCGCTCAGGTAGGCTTCGGAATTGGTGTAGTTGAACAATCGGACGTTAGTGAACATCTCATAAGTTGGATTGGCCCACATGTTGTAAATAAACGAGCCCTCTTTCATGTCCATAACCTGAAGACAGAAAAAATATTTTAATTATTTTTAAATTTCTGAACACATGTGGAGTCCCACAGGGAAGCATATTAGGTCCAATACTGTTCCTTTATACGTGAATAACATTTCAGAGGTAATCAATCATAATTGTAATGCAAAAATCGTATCGCCTTCTTATAACATGTTTAAAGCAAATAAATAAATTTTTATTGTTCCACATGGTGATATGTGCAATAAATGTTTGCGCTTATACTCAATACTTTATTGCTTCCATAATGTGAATACATAGGTGACAACAATTCAAGCGGCAACAATTATGGACCCTGTCGGGCGCAGCACAGTTTGTTTGGGAGAGAGGAAGATAACACAACCACATATACAGTAGAATATTTTGAAAAAGAAGAATTTTGAAAATCCTTCTATATATGATAGAGTTACGCAAGAACATACATAAAAAAATACAAACATCCGAATTGATAACCTCCTCCTTTCTGAAGTCGATTAAAAAGATTCGGTGTAGGTATATTTTTATCATTAAATAAGATCTAAATTTGTAGTAGCATTAAGGATCTTATGTCAAATTGTACATCGGACAATAACAAAAACATAAATGTAATTTACAAGTGGTAAAACCGACCAGTTTAATAACAAAATGGTAATAAGCCCCTGTGTTTGTAGATTTTTAAATTTATAACTTAACAGCAATTGATGTCATCCAGTCAGTTAATATTATAAAAGTTTATTCAAACCAATATTATAATGTCAGTTTGTAATACTTGTATCCTTTAATTACTTGACTGATTTTTACGAAACTCTGCATAAACTTTGTCAAGGATATTTATTTTATTTTACTTCTCAACAGTGTGGTCCTTAATTACTATAAAAAACATGGTTACTTTTGTGAACTCATTCAGGGAACAAGAAAAAATTACAATATTTTGTGCCACCTTGTTTAGCGTAACAAGTGTCCTCGTTAGAGTCTTGCTCAACAAATTTTTCCTAGCAGATGCTACGGCCAGAAGAGAACACAGGCAAATAACATATCTTATGTCCAGAAACGAGGAATGTTGAAGAGAGAAACTTCTTTATTCGCGTTGGGCATTTTTGAACAGCAAAATAACGCATTTTATAAGAAAAAACAATTGAACTCGCGACCTGTTACCATTACCGACACCTTTTTATATAAGTTTTTACTTCTGTAGGCCCTCCTGGAGTGCCACTGTTTTTGAAGTGAAAACTTTTTTAGGCGCGTTGGGCATTTTATGAGCCTGAAGAAAACAATTGAACTCGAGACACTGTTACTGTTACTGACACCTCTGTATATAAGTATATAAGAGACTGCCACTGTTTTTTTAACCCTTACGCTACCGTTTGCCCCTACCGTCGTAATGTACACCTGCAATTTAAGAGTTACAACTGCGTTACCGGCCCTTGTAGCTCCCAAAAGGCTTTCCCAAATATTGATTGAGTGACGGATATTATTTTTATATTCCATTCAACTTGCATGTTTGGTGACGGATTAAGAATATGGATTGCCAACACCTCTATCTAACCCGTAGATTTCGTAAGAGCCGACTAAGGGAGCAAACAAGGGACCGCCGACGAGGGACAACAGCACTATAATAAGGTAATCAAACAGCCGATGCCAGAGCGCCCGCGCACCGAAAACGTGGTCCCTAAAGTGACTTATTTTTATTTTAGATACTTTAAGTTAAAATTAAAATTATTTACAATTTCAATTGAAGAAAAAACTGTCTGTTTATTAGTTAAATACAGCTAAACGAGTTTAGATGAAATGTGGAAAATAATGTATAAATGCAAAAAAATGATTTTTCAGAGAGGCCTCCACCAAGTTTTGCCACAACAACGGCCCTGTGTCGGATGGTCGGTTTCCCGCGACTTCATCAGGTCGTCGGACCACCTCTGGCCAAAAAATTGTTTGACACCGCTTTTCTCCCCTCCTTCACAGGCCGAGGTACCTCTCTGGTGGAGACGGCCTATATGTGCTGAAGGATGACTCTCCCGTAGTAATCATCTATCTATCATCATCATCAATATGTAAATTATGTAATAGCATGCTACGTGATTCTGTTAATTCTGGTGTATGTACAGTCAACGATAAAAGTAGATGATCAAAAACGAATTGTCAAAACTACTGAACGATATTTGGATCAAAACTATGTAGTGATACAATGTTACAAAACTAAGTGATTAAATAAAGTACCCATAAATTCACATCTACAGCCTTAACTAGTCCACTGCTGGACATAGGCCTCTCCTTAGAAAGGAGGTTTTGGTCTACTATACTACGCTGGCCAGACGGGTTGGTATAGGGTTTGTTTCAAGTTTTCCTTCTCTCTGCAGCGCTTTTGTCCTGCGTATTTTGCTTCCTTAGTCGCCTCTTACAACACCCACGGTATGAATAGGGGTGGTGACACTCTGTATTCTTAATCCGTCACCACACCCACACCCATAAATTAGCTGATTGAATTGTCAGCAAAAGTTTATGATCAAAGTCGTTGCAAAACAATTAGCTGGTTGAACTAATACCAAAAGTTAATGAACAAAGACGTTTCGAAACAAATTAGCTGATTGAACTGTCGCCAAAATTTGATGATCAAAGGTTTTGATCATCTCCTACATAATTATATTATTCTTGTATTTTAAATTATTTCAATCTAGTTAAATATCGGATGATTGTACGTTATTTGTAGTGCATTCATTCGTTGGACGATCAAACACACTCGAAACGGTTCCTACTTAAAAAGTGTTAAGTACGTATTCAAGTTTATGTTCCGCACTTATACACGGCAAATAATCCTTTCGGATGTGTACGCAAATAACTGTTTGAAGTTATAACGGTTTGTTTGCAAAACGAATTGTGTGTTAAGGTCGTGGGTTGGCATTATATGTTTCTTATAAAACACCTTCCCTTTTATGAAAATAACTATTTATCATACAAAACAGTTTTTTTTTTCAAATATCGTTTTTTTATCTTTTGTTTATTCAGAATTTATTTCTTGCAGCTATTAAGTTAATGATTTCGCTGTAAAAACTACCACGGGTACTCATAAATGCGTAAGAATTTTCTTAATATATCAGACAGTCAATTTCACTGATATGAAACGGTTTTATTTAAAAAATGTACCATAACATGCAAAATACATTTTTTAGGATATTTTAATTAAAGTGTTCAGAAAAGTACAGTATTTTTTTAAGAACGATATGTTCCTCTAACTTAATTAAGTATTTTTTTACTTCGAAAGACTGCAGTAAAAGCATACCTACAATAGATTGGAATTGTTTTTGTTAAAATGGTGCACCATGTTTTAAAATAGTATTATCTCTGTACACAGGAATGATTAGGGGGAAGTCCCGTAGCGCCGGACGGCACCTAGCACCGGACACTCATACTATTTTGACAAACGTCAACGCGATCTATTTATAAATCGGTGAAAGGGGTGCGGGGGAACGTAGCGAGACAGGATCACGCAACGCGATTTGCCAGTGAGACGCACAGTCGTGGTGGAAGCGGTGAATTGCTGTTTTTGGTGGGAAAGCGTTGCGTCACGTAAATTTCAAGTAAGTATTACAGCTATGGTTTTAGCCTTAATTGTTTTTGTTATTTGTTAATAAAGACAGTGTTTCACTATAATTATTATATTGTGAAAGTTTTTATTAAATACCTAAACAGTTTTAGTATGAAATACGTAATTTTGGACGTTTCCTGTCCCCTACTTTCGGACACAAAGGTGTCCCTTACCACCGGACAGTTTATAGGTTAGCTTTTTTATGAAGCATTTGTACTTATTGTAATGATGATTGTTTGTTGTTTTACAGGATAGAAGGAGAGAGGTATTTGAAAATGCAAGAGAGAAAAAAAAAGGAAACTGGGATCAGCAAAGTTTAAAAACTGCGATGAACAAGATTTTGTCCAAAAAAATGAGTTTGAGGGCAGCTTCGTCACGTTACAATGTACCAAAAAGTACTCTACATGATAAAATAACGACATTGAACAGTGGAAAAGAAGTCACGTTGCAACCAAAAGTTGGTAGATTCACAAAAACCTTCTCACCCGAGTATGAACAAGTTTTAGTGGACCACATAAGAGATTTGTCTAATAGATGTCTGCCCCTGATGAAAAACGAGTTTTTGAAGTTAGCTTACGACTTGGCTGAAGCTATGAAGATTCCCCATGAGTAAACAAACCAAACGTGGCAATAACGACAACAAAAAGGAGCCGTTAACTGAAGTATCAAATATAGAAAAAACGACTTGTGTAGTGTGTTTAGAAGACCACGACGAGGACTGGATACAATGCTCCAGATGCCAATAATGGGCTCATGAAGCATGTGCAGACGTTCCAGAATGTGGAGATGCCTACATATGTGATAGATGCTAAAAGTTTTAGAATGTCCGGCGCTTGGGGTTTGAAGATTAACCCGTCCGGCACTAGGTGCCAATGTCAAAGTCCTTTATTTTTTTACCAAAACTTATTTAACATTCCTAAACTATGTTTACGCAGAATTTGTATTTTTGTTATTTGATTTTGATTTTATGTTTTGTTAATTTAAGTAATTCATAAATAAATACATATTTCTCGATGTAGTTTTAATTTTATTTCCTGAAAACCTTATGTGTCCGGCACTAGGGGACTTCCCCCTACTCATATCAATCCTGTATTTATTTAGTTTGACATCTTCAATGTTTTCCTGTCAATTTCACAACTCTATTTGGGGTCAAGTCAATTTATAAACTGCAATGAGTTTTGGCTCTTCCTGTTACTTTCAAGATGGTAAATTTAAGTCTGGAAAACGGGTAAGACGAAATAGTAACGGATATCCTAAGTCTCGGATCTGAAACGAGACTAAAACTGCAAGACTGCAGTAACTCGAAAGCCCGATCGCGTAGCCTAAGGAAGAGGTTTTCGAGCTAATGTAGTCTTAGTCCCAATTTAGAGTTACAAAACTTAGAGTAGCCCATACCTCTCTTGCTTACCTTAAGTCACCTTCTTCCTT